TCTTGGCATTCGTCACTTCCTGTGCATTAATCCCCAAAAAATAAATTGATCACAATAATTCGAATTATCTAAAGCTCTAATTCTAAGTAGTAAAAAAATAAATTGATTAGAATAATTCGAATTATTAATGCAGAGTAAGACATTGTCGTTTCCCAAGCTTCTCCTTTCCCCCATATCTTTGACAAGTAAAAACGAAATAGAGTGATTTATTATAGAAAAATGAAGGACCTTAAAGGGATAAATAAATAAGCATTTGCAGCAAAGCCCAGGGGATTTTGTTTGCAATTCTATGACAGGATTAACAGAGATTTTGTTTGGGGCAAAGACGGTGATCAAGGGAAAATGCACTTGGTGGCATGGGACAAGCTAGCGGAGCCCAAAGCCCAGGGGGGCGGTGGCCTCAGATCTCTCCGCCAAGCGAACCTCTCTCTGCTAGCAAAAGGTGGTTGGAGGCTTTTGCAGGAGAAGGATACTCTCTGGGCCCAGCTTATGCGGTCAAAGTACGGCAGGCAGACGGAAGGGCTTGACATGCTTCGACCAGTTCAGGGAAGTTCCTTTGCCTGGAGAAGTTTTCATAAGGCTTCTGACCTTCTTAGGAAGGGCTGTGCATGGAATATCCATAATGGTCGGCGGACTAAGTTTTGGCTTGACGTTTGGATTTTGCAGGGTCCCCTTTCCGATGTGGTGCTCCAACCAATTCCTGACGAGATGCGCTCGGAAACAGTAGCAGATTACATTGACATAGACGGGAACTGGGATATCAGCCGCTTATCTCCTTGGCTGTCATCCGAGGTTCTTCAGAAGATTACAGCTGTGAGGGTAGACGCGTTGTCCTCAGTTGATGACACCATCTTCTGGACTGCGACTGCGAATGGCCACTTCTCTACGAAATCAGCATACCAGCTTCTCCAGCCCAGGCCGACGGACCAGGATGAGGGGCTGTGGAAGAAAATCTGGAAACTTGCTGTCCCGGAGCGAGTCACCTGTTTTGCTTGGCTTGCTGCTCGAGGAAGGATCGCCACTAATTGCCTGCGGTTCTCTAGGAAGTGTGCGGAATCCCCGGCGTGCGCCCGTTGCCAGGACTGCCCCGAGTCTATTAGTCACCTCTTGCGAGACTGCCCCCCAGCCAGATACTGCTGGTCGAGATGGATTCCTTATGATCGGCAGCACACTTTCTTTTCCAGTGAGGGTGAGTCTTGGCTTCGCAGCAACCTGCAGAAAGAAGACCCAAGGGGAGACGGTATGCCTTGGAACGTTTTCTTTAGTATTGCTATCTGGTTGATCTGGAAAAACAGGTGCACCTTTTGCCTTGAAGGCGCTCAGAAGGCTTTCACCGCCCCTTCCTTGGCTCACTCCATCGAGCACAAGGCTAACCTGTGGTATAAGGCGTGGCTTGCTCCTTCGACCTTGCAAGGCAGAAGGGAGCACGGCTCTAGGCGGGAGACGGTCCAAGTCAGGTGGCATCCCCCTCCCCGTGGATGGATGAAAGTGAACATTGATGGGGCTTCAGCGGGTAACCCGGGGCTTGCGGGCTCGGGGGGGGTCATCCGGGACGAGCAGGGACAGTGGATAGCGGGTTTTGTGGCGAAAATCGGAGATGCTTCGGCTGCTCTGGCCGAGCTGTGGGCTTTCTTTCATGGTTTAACCCTTGCGTGGAGGTATGGCTGCACTAGTCTGATAGTTGAATCTGATTCTCAACTAGCCATTCAGCTGATTGAGAGTCGCAGAGATCCTATTCACCCGCATGCTTCGCTTTTGAGCTCGATTCGGAGGCTTTTAGCTCAGGATTGGCTTGTTAGGATAGTTCATACTTACCGAGAAGGGAATAGAGTCGCGGACTGGCTCTCGAAGCACAGTCTCGTCTATCCCTACGGTGTGCATGAACTTCCTAGCGTGCCTTCTGCCCTCTGTCAGATTCTCGAGGAGGATAGGAAGGGAGTGGCCTTTGAGCGCCAGATCACTGTTCTCCCTACTCTGTAATTTCTGTCTTCTTCCCCCTGTATCCCCTTTCTTGGCCACTGGCCTCCTTTACACCAAAAAAAAAAATAAGCATTTGCAGCAAACGTCCAAAGGGTTGGAATCTGAGTATGAGGTGGCCCTGACAGCGCAAATCATTTGGAATTATTACTTAATTAATTACCCACAAGGATTAAGAAAATAAATAAATAAAGGTAAGGGCGTAAGGCTGTGGCCTTATTTTTTTTTATAACTACGACTAAATTTTCCTTCTTTCGTGGGTTTATTGTGTTTTGTTAGGGTAAATGCATTAATATAAAAATCAGAAAAGGTTCAGCAACACAAAGACAACAATCCGGGTTCAAAAGAATTGAGCCACAGGAACACCGTCAAAAAATAACGGAAAAAAAACAAACAAGTACGAATTCAACCTGCAAAGGCATTATTTTGTACTTTGTATCTGTTGTTCCCTTTCGGGATATCTATGACAAATAAAAAAAAAGAACTAACAAGTACGAGAAAAATATTTTAATGGATCAAACCACACCTGATGTGAAGAAAAACACCTGCCAAGATGGATCCGACCATCCATATTAGAGAGTAAAAGCGTAAAAAAACCCCCAAAAAAAGCAGCAAAAGAGTCGAAAAGGTCATCATCCATGAAGATGAAGGGCTGATGCTTGGCAACACTTCAGAACCATCAAAATGCGAAAACTCTGCCCCAAGAAAGGTAGTGCATCAAGCACTTGACCTAGCAGCTTGATAAAAAGACGCAACACTTGAACTGAGCAGTACAAAAAACTGAGACAAAGATCCTCATATTCTCAAGAAAAAATCACACATCCACTGTGTCCCCTGATATTTGTTCACCTTACCAAACGCAGCCAACCAATTCACAATCGTTTTAATAATCAGACGCGAGATAGTTCCAGAGCTCTGCTTCTTATTCTCGAATATACGCTGATTGCGATCATTCCAAACTTGCCAAGAGTAGCGTGAAGACAACAAGAAACTAAATCAATCATCAATGCAACTTGGTGTCCTTGACGGCCAGCCACTGATGGTACTCACAATGTCGCCTCTCGGATTCTGAAAAATAACAGATCCTCTCTGAAAAATGTTCAAGATATCATCAATAAACGAACAGCTGATAAGGAGGTGATCAGTAGCCTCTTCTTCTTTCATGGGTTAATGTATACTTTCGATTTTGGGTGCAGGATACATAGTTAATTTTCTAATTTTCAATTTCTTGTCAAAAATTTGGTCATTCATTTTGTATAAAAAATGAACTCAATCATCAATTGTAGAAAAAATTTCTTTTTGTTTCAACTTCTCCTTTTCTCAAATAAAATATATAACAACAAGTAAGAAAATATGTGAGTTTACGTAAAAAATATCGTTATGATTTGCTTATACTTTAAATTTTTCTGAAACTTCAACTAATTCATTATGATTTGCTTATACTTGAAAGTTTTCTTAAACTTCAACTAATAACTATTGCAAAGATAAACTTGAGAGTAAAAATGCATGAATTAGTTGTAACTCTAGAATGTACATTTTAATCATTAGAGTCTAGTTTTGAAATAGAGTGTATTGTATATATATACCCAAAATATAGTATAGGATGTATTATACACGCACCCTACTCATTAAAAGGTAATTTTCTATATATTAGAAAAACTACAAACGGGTGAATAAGGCATCGGTATAGTGGTAAAATCGTGTTATTGAGATTGTGATTTTGAAAATTACCCTGATTAAACTATCCCGAACACAAAATATCTCTTTTTTTTTTTTTTTTGTTGCCTTTTGAAGTTGTTATTTTCAAGTTAAAGTCCATGTCGAGTTCCACACGGCAGGGTCACGTACCGTTGGATAGACTCAGGCGTTGAGATTCCAGTGGGCCATTGGATTAGTTGGATCCCGGTGATTGCGACCGTTGGATCCTTTCTCTTTGTTGGTATTTCCTTTTTTTACTAGATTCTTTTCCCCGGACCCGGAGTATTATAATTGGCATTTGCTGTATTATTGAATATGGGAAAAAATGCTGAAATGGTCCCTCATCGTGATAGTAATTGAAAGTGCACCCTTGACCCAATCACAGTAATTGAAATGGTCCCTTCCTCGCTGGCCATCAATCGTCCCCGGAAAAGAATAGTTACAAGAAAAGAAGTTCATAATCTGCAACTCCATGTTCTTGGCCATGCACACACTCAAAGCATCCTTCAGATCTTCCTTCTTTTGCCTTTCAACCATTTTGATCCCTTTCCAATGTCACGCATGGAGACAATTAGCATTTCTTAGATAAATGAATGCACGCATAAGTATTTCAATCGAGATATCTATTTTAAATCGGCAGTGCATGAACAAAAGATATTATTTTTATTTATTTATTCCATATATCACCTCTTTAGCATCTTTAATGTAAATGACTGAGTCACATAATATTTTCATTTTGGTTCCTTTCCAACAAATAGAGTTATAATGAGGATGCGATGATTCCTGATAAAAAAATATACTTACTATCCGTCGTTAATTATAAACTTACCAACCAAGTAATCGATTTCGATGTACAATACTGCTGATCATGATGCTCATTTCATTCTTTCGTAAACAGAATGCTGAAGGGAACACAAGCAATATTACTTCACCATGCCTGTTCCTCTGTTTTAGTGTAAGGATAAAACAGGGGAATTAATAAATCGATTCACATGGTGTATGTATGGGTAAAAACTGTTATGTGGCTTGCGTCAGTCATCTCATGCCTATGAAACAACTAATTTTTGAGAGGTGGTTGGAGTTGCTTGTCTACCACCAACTCAGAGCATGGCCAATCTGTCATTTTATTAAGAAATGGGGGAATTAGAAGGAAATAAATTACCATCATCGTCTCGTTTATACTAATTTTGGCCTTGTTTGGAGATGAAATGCCCTCTCAGGCTCTCATTCCGCGTATTTCCATCACCAATTTAAAAGAGAAAACATAAAACTAAAAAGCTATATTAAAATCCAGCTATGATACGCTGTTTGTTTCCTTCAATCGACGGACCTCGATTTCCCTTGCTGTACCTTCATATTAATCCAGCCTTTGTTTATAAGGGTGACTCAAAAGAAAGAGAGAGAAGCAGAGCAATAAAACCCCTACCCGCCCCCAAAGCCAAAGCAAGAAAGAGAAAGCAAAAACAGAGCAAGAGAAAGCAGCTGAAAGGAGAAGAGAAGAGAGAAAGCGAATCCCACCCAAGTTGAAGAAGGAGGAGGAGAGAAAAGGGTTTTCAAGATAGGGTGCTTCGGGGGAAGGAGTAGGTACAGCCGGCAGAAGAGTAGCGGTGAAACAATGGAGACCGCTCAGCCACAGCCGCCGCCATCGTCGCAGCCTCAGCCACAGCCGAAGCAGCTGAATCAGCTGATGGTTCAGCAGCCCTCGGGGAGCCTGAGCTTCAGCAGTCAGATGTCGAAGGAAGACGAGGAGATGTCGAGGTCGGCGCTATCCAATTTCAGGGCTAAGGAGGAGGAGATCGAGAAGAAGAAGATGGAGGTGAGGGAGCGGGTCCAGGCTCAGATGGGCCGGGTCGAGGAAGAAACCAAACGCCTCGCCTTGATTCGTGAGGTAAAAAACTGAACTTTAGCAAAAATCAACCATTTCTGCTGTTTTCTTTTGTGGGTTTGCTCTAGATTTAGCGTTTTCTGTGTGGATTTTTTGCAGTGTTTTAGTTTTTCACTGTTTCTATTTAGGGTTTGGGGGGAATTGGGGAAGAAACTGAAAATCCACAGTATGACCGTTTGTTCGTCAGATTGAAGAAGGAAAGAGAAAAGCTGCATATTTTATAAATATTTAGTTTGCAATTTCGATTCTTCCTGTCATTGGGAGGAAAATTTGACCGTTTTATGTCGAGATTCTTGAGTAAATCTTGGTGGATTTTCTGAAATTTCCAACCTTTCCCCAAACCCTAGGAACCATTATTCTGAAATTTGTGCTGGTAAGAACAGATTAAACATGTTGGAGAAGCTGTGATTCGAGGGTTGGCCTAGTGATAACGAGGATAAACAAACACCACCGAATCCATACCGGATTTGGGTGAAAATGACATGGGACTCTGTCTTGTCCTCTGCCTTTCTGAATCTGAGCCTTAATGAATCTTTTTGTTGCTACAGGAGCTGGAAACTTTGGCAGACCCCATGAGGAAAGAAGTATCTCTTGTGAGGAAGAAGATTGATTCAGTGAATAAGGAATTGAAGCCACTAGGACAATCAGTCCAGAAGAAGGTATAGAGATAATAACAAACAGCAGATAACTTCTTTTTTAATGAAAACCCCTTTTTCTGGATTATTGTCTAGTTGTCTTCTATATACATGTGGTCTCCATTTGCTGTTCCATCACCACATGTCAAAACCAGACAAAGAAACAGTTGTGTGATAACTTCGTGGGTTGTTGTTTTTGCGATTTACAGGAGAAAGAGTACAAGGATGCTCTTGATGCTTTTAATGATAAGAACAAGGAGAAAGTACAGCTCGTTACCAAGCTAATGGAGGTGAGACTCATGCTTTCTTTTACTTACTGAGGAATCAGGATGAAGGGTTTTTTTGGGTAAATTTGTTGCTGTTCTTGCATCTAACTTGCGACCTGAATTTGTTGTTTGTCTCTTCGAGTTTGAACAGCTGGTGACCGAAAGCGAGACACTAAGGCTGAAGAAGCTTGATGAGCTGAGTAAGAGCATAGACACAGCCCGCTGATTTGATCGATCCAATGCCTCTCTCCGCGGGGCTGATGACTGATTTTAGGGCTCTTTGTGCAAGTGTTACTGCTTGCTGCTGCTGATGGTGATGAAGATGACTGTGGTTGTATTTAAGTTGACCTTATTTATATTCATATGAGGGTGTATTTTCTTCTTCTTCTTCTTTTCAATGGGGGTTTGGTGTAATTCTATATCTTTTGTTTGTTTCTGTTAGCAAATTTTAATGGAGTTTCATTAGTAGGTGGGTTTTTAGGAGGGGGGAAACACATTATAATGGACAGGGTTTGTAACTAGAAAGTGTTTATTTTGGTTGTCCTCTCTCAACTTCTTAATGGTTTCCTTTTGTAGCTTCTTTCTGTGGTTTGTTCTGTGAAAAAGAATTGAGTTTGGTACAGTGTTCAATCTCTCTTTATTGCAGCATAGCTAAGTTTCAATTTCCTGCTCTGAACTCAGGGTTTTGCTGGTTAGTCTTTATGACTAGAATTTTGCTCGCTTCTATGGATGCAAACTTCAGTCCCATGAGTATGTGAGCCATCCGTGCCGATGGCTGACTCGAGTCATTCCAAGTCCAAGTCCTTGGGAAGTGCTCCTAGATGAGATCCTTTTGTTGGTCCCTCGAGATGCTGACTTAGTTTTGTGGACATTTAGACTCGGATCGTCTGATCAAGGAGCAGGATTGTTTGCGTCTTCAATGGCAGTCAAATCAATGTGATTATTTGATTGCCTCTCATTGCTCTCCTACAAGCTTTGCTACCAGGCAAGCTACCCTGCAGAGAGTTTCTTCAGCACTCAGTGCAGTATCGCTCAGGGTTCGTCGGATGCTTCTGCAGTATCGCTGGTCCCTATGCTGCACACAGGGCCACCATTGTAGGCATGATAGAGCTTGGAAGCAGTAGAGAAAAGCTTTGATCCGGTAATGAGCGAGTTAGGGCGTGTCCTTTAGTAGCTGCTGTCAGTTGAGTAAGGGAAAACGAAGAATAAAGTGGTAGGAAGTAAAGGAAACGTTGTACAGAAAGCCATATCAAGCCGTTCACAAAGGGCTATTATAAAGCCTTTGATTCTGCTCAGTGCCGGAAAAAAGAAAAGGGCTTTTTGTTTACAATATGGGTCTCTCTTTACTCTTCGGCAATCCAGAATCACCTAACCATCCATGCAACAGCAGCCAACACAAAAGTGGTGCAGTTTCCTTAGCAATGAAAATTCTCAAAGCAATAAAGATGTGTGTCACAAACTTTAAGCATGATCCTAGTTAGTTGTGTGTACAAATTGTCTTTATGGTTGGCATGACAAAAATGTTTTGTATGAATCTGAAAGGGTCAGATATGATAAAATTTGAAAGAGCAATGAGAAAGAGTAAAATCAGTGGGGAGCTAAGAATCTAAATTTGGGGAAGCTGATCTGAATCGTGCTGATGTCTTATTGACTACTCTATTTTTTTAATTTGTTACAAATTTTACATTTAATTTTATCTATATTTCATATTTGAGAGGGACTATAGGCCCTACTCACTTTAAACTACCTCCTACACTAAATAAAATTCAATTATCAAGAATTGACTAAAGTGATAGGAGATGAAGTTTGTATAATGTGTTGTCATTTAAATATTAAAAAGACCAAACAATATAAACCCAACATATACAAATTTGATAGCTACAATTCCAGAAAGACTTACCCCATCCTCTCAACAATTAAACATGACACTGTCATAAGCACCAACAGCAAACTAGCTAAGCAACCAACTCTGCCATTTATTTCTTTGTCTCCTTTCTCTCCCAAAGCAAAACAAGAAGGAAAAGGAAAGGGGCATTTCCCCATTTTCTTTTGCCCAATTCATCTTCCCTGTTGGTGGTTGCACCTTTGCAGTTTGTTAAACCACCAAAAGCTTGAAAAAACACAAGGCAAACTGGATCTCACTTGCCCTTTGGTTGAGGTGGTAACACGAAAATGTTTGATTTGCCATATGGCAGCAAAGGAATTTGGGACCAGGCCACGGGTTAATAATTGCCCTTCTGCTACTGATGCTGCTGTGCGGTTTTGGTTTGTCTCTATCAGTTTGGCTTGGATCAACCATCTCTTTCTGATGGGTGAAAAAGAAAGCACATTTTTCACTGTGGATGGTGAATCAAAAGCTAAGAAGGGTAGAAAATGACTTTTACCGTCAATGTTGCTCTCGTCGTTGATTATGTACGCAATAAGTAAGAAATTCCAATAATTTATAAGTAGATTCATCTCAAAATATAATTCGAGATGTTAGATGAGATTCGCATGGGGAAAATGGAATAGGAAAGCCATCAAACTCCACCTCACCATCTTCTCAAGTTTGTGATGCCAGACTGCAAAGCCTGTTTATTGGGACCTTCTTTCTTCATCTAGCTCAAGCTTACAACTTGGAACAAAATAATTGCTTTGGGCCCCCAAAAAATAGAGCCGTTGGTAAAGCTGGGTTTTCTGGCCCATTTTTTGTGGCGTGGGCTGTGGGAGATCTGACTTCTCAATTATTATCGAGATCTACGGGTTGATTTAGTAGGACAAGAACAAATTTCTGATTCTGAGAGATGTACTTGGGCCGGGCCCATTCGCCAATTGCTTTTCCAGTTTTGTCTTTTGGAGTAAGCGGGTACAACTACAATAAGGTCTCCCAAGAGGCCCAATTAGAGCCCACCGAATCTGAAACGATGGATATTGAGGGTCCATCCATTTACATCCTTTCAAGTTCAATCAACTCCCTCTTTAGACCTGTTTGTTGGCAGATTGTTGGTTGATCTTGATCATCATTCATCACTTACCCCTGTGATTAGGGATTTCAATTGTAGTTATTCTACTAAAATCCCCTTTATGTGGTTCATATGCCGTTTCATACAACGACCCAATACAAATTTACACTAACTCATACATTTTTTCTCACAGATTTCTTCGATGACCATTATATAATTTCTAAAGTTACACTAAACGTGTTTTGAAAAAAATTTAAACACAAGCAAATAGTGAACGGTTTTCGTGTGAAATGAACACACTTCCCTTGTTCACTGTTATACAATTGAAAATTAAGACCATTTTGAGATGAATCAGGTGATCAAAATGATGATTATGCGTTCATATTATTATTATTATTATTATTATTATTATTATTATTATTATTATTATTGAGTATAATTATTAGAGGCAAGAAGATAAACATATGATATCAAAACAGGGACCAATAATTAGCTTCTTCATCTACAGTTAATCATCCATCATATATCTATCATTATCAATTTGTATCTTACTGAAACCAAAAGCTTGGCTAGAAGATGATGGCAGAAAGTGTTTATCTTTTCGGTAGTAGCTAGCTAGGTGGCCCAATAATGGTTAGGAGCACTAATCCAATAATATTTAATCAACTTATGCAAAAAAGAGACAAAAACTTCAATCTAATAGACGATTATTATTATAGAAAATAAATAAAATAAATATCAAGTTTGTGTGTTTGGGATGAGATGCATGACGGTGTGACAATAATATTAAACGAATTATAATTGGTTTTTGTGTTCTTAAAATTGGGGTATGGAGGAACATTCCCCATTGCCTTGAGTTCAATAAATTAGAGAAATTAAAGCAAATATATATGTGCAAAGAGCCAAAGAGACATGAATTGCTTGTGTCCATATCGCCATCTATACTTGGTCAAATTGTGACCAAAGCAATTTTTTTTATTTCTTGTTTTGGTTTGTAATACAAAGAACATTATTCATTACCAAAATCTAGGGCAACCTTTAGGCCAAATCTTTTAGACGGCTGCATATATTCTTCTCTTTTTCCTTCTCCTTTTGGCTTGTGGCTAGATGAAAAGAATTATGCTCTGAGGTTTTTAGGGAGAGAGAGATTCGTCTTTTGGTATAAGATTATGCTTTGTGACTCTTTCACAATTCACTATCACTATTAAGCAAATCATCGAATCCATTTGAGTTTGAATTAAACATGTCATATCATATATCTACTTAATGAATCAATACCGTGGTCAATAAGACATAGAGTACAAGACCACTGGCGTCATGATTCATGAAGTGATATCAAATTAATCAAAATAATGAATCCCAATGGTCTATCAACAATTTAAATGCACCTACATAGACAATAAAAACTAAAAATTCTACGATTGATACAACTTAAACTCTAATTGATCAATGTCTTAGTAAAATAACTTGAAGATCTTAACATGTTATTGTCGTTCCAAATATAACATATAGCAAACTATGAAACAATTATGACACATGTTTAACCATTTCTCAACCCACCACTATGAACTTATAGACGAGTTTTCATTCCGTATCGAAGACTTCCAATTATCTATGTCATTTAGTTACCTCTTTTGAAGCACTAGGACGGCGACGTCCCCTCCTTGCTTGCTTGGTCTAGCAAACACAACTATAAGAGCCGGCGTCTACATTCGAGTTTGTGCAAGAGGGCATTTCTCTTTTCCCCTATTGAAAAGGTGATTGAAAGCGAAAGAGATGGTGAAATGGAAATGGAAAGGAAAAGGAAGAGGAAGGATTGAAAACGAAAGGCCTAATTGCTTTCGTCCTTTGTGGTGTCATTAGCGATAGATAGGTATGTTTGTACGCTGGATTTTGACGCCTTCTGTAGTTTCCCCCGTCCGTGTAGTAGATATGGAAATGTGTATGTAGCATGTCATTTCCCCTAATTATTTTGTGGCATAGGAACCCTACAAATGAGTTGTATGAGTTACGGTCCTTTAATCTTAGATGTAATAACTCTTAGTGTTTTTCTAAGTTACTGAATCTAGATTCTCAATCTCGCAAGTACTCATTTGTTAGCATGAGTTCAATTCGATGTGTTGGGTTATGATTAAACGAGGGAGTGATATCTAAAACTCAAGGGGCCCGTTTGGGTAGGTGACAAATTAGGGGTATGGGGGAGAAATTGATCGATATATGGGTTTTCGGTGGTCATAGCATCATGGTCCCTCTAAATCTACCCTATCTCTCACGTTTGACCTATATATTACGGATGCCATAAATGAATGTATCCCATTACATCTCGATCTATCTATAGTAGTTAGCTACAAAATTAAAATAGAGAAAAAGGAAAACAAGGGCTGATATGAGTATAGCTATTAAAGAATATGGACTACTACTAGCCACATCAATTGTTAGAAGAATTTTACAATATTTTATAGTATCGGTGTTTTAGTTTACAAAAGAAAATTTTATGGTACAAACTGAATTATATCATAACATAAATGTACAAATTTATTTGTTGTATAAAATGTACTTGTACTTCTACGATTGTTATACATATTCAGGTTGTATCTCGAAATACCAAAACACCGATCAGGATCCAATAATTAAGCTTGTAGCTCCTTCAAATTCTAGTGTTTCTCCTATAATTTGTCGTGTGCAAGGACATGGGCAAAGGTTGGAATATTAAACAGAATATTTATGGACAACGTATAACCCTCTTCGTACATGCACCTAACCCAAGTTCCCAACATGAAACCACATATCATTTGATTGCCAATGCCTAGAATACCAATTGCC